GTGACACTCGGGGCACTGGGACAACCAGTTCTCTAGATGGAACATGAGAACCGAAATCCTTTCTGCACGTTTTGCGGGAAACCCCGTCCAGGGGGACTCATAGGCTCGCAGTCAGCAATAAACCTTTAGAAAGGACCTTCAGAAGTGTCTTCCGACCTCATGGAAATCACACGAGACCCAACAGAGAAAGAAAAAAATAGAGCAGGAAATGGACACAGCTGGACTAATAAGCAGCTTCCACGATTTCACAGCCAGAGGGTTAACGTCCGGGATGCAGTCAACCCTTGAACAATGCGGGGTTGGGACGCTGTCCCCCCAGCGCAGTCAAAAATCCACATATAACTCGGACTCCCCCAACACGTGACTACCTACCGAGGGCCTCCTGTTGACCGGGAGCCTTCTCAACGACATAAACAGTCAGTTAACATGCATTTTGTATGTCATACAATACACTGTGTTCTCACAGGGAAGTAATCTTGAGAAAAGACTCCGAGATTGAAAAGATCCTGAGGGCCTGGCGGGCGAGGCTCAGCGGCTGAGCATCGACCCAAGAGATCAGTGTCGGATTCCTGGTCGGGGCACAGGCCCGGGTTGCAGGCTCCTCGATGCCCAGCAGGAGGCGTGCAGGAGGCAGCCGATCCATGGCTCTCAGCATTGATGTTTCTGTCTCTCCCTCTCCCTCCCTGTCTCTGTAAAAATCAATTAAAAACCTTAAATAAAAAGAGAGAGAGAACGAAAGTGGACTGAAGACGTGAACGGACGCTGCACAGAACACGTGAAAAGGCTCACGGCAGAAGACAGGAGACAGTCTCGCTGGCAGAACGCACCGGCCACAGCTCCGGCGTCCACACGATGCAGCCGGAGAGTAGGATGCGAGTGAAGGAAGCTGGTCACAGGGCGGCGTGTCCAGGGAGTAAAAAAACATGGCTCGAAAACCTGGGAAAACAACACAGTGTGTCCCTCGGAGATGCACCGACTGGGGAAGACAATACAGCAGGAGAGGAACACACGCAAAACCCAGCAGCCTGGACACCTCTGCCAGGGCCACAGCAGTCTCTGACTGCTCCTGCACCCACGGGCCCTGCTGTGGGTCTGCCTCCCCGGGGCAGGGGGTGGGTGGGCCTCCCGGTGCCCACAGCACGGGGTCCACATGCAGCCTTGTCGCTGTGCCTGCCTGAGCTTGAGATGCCCGGGCCACAGAAGAGCTCAGCAAGCGTGTGTTGAATGACCACATAAGCACAGGACCCTTCAGCCACCATCACTGTGGTCAGCGAAAGGGAGACTGAGGCAGGGGCAGCCATGGACGGGGGCTCTAGGATCCCCCTCCGGAGGGCCCTCCCACACCTCCCTACAGCGCATTCCTGCCGGGGCCAGGGCCAAGCCGAGCGCTGCACAGCTGGAGCCCCACCCCTGCCGGGGTTCCCCAAAGCTGCCCCACCCGGTGGGCTCCTGCCAAGACTGGCCTCCCACTCACATCCCCCAGCCCCTTCCAGCTCCTAGCTCCCATCTCCGGAAGGACATCTCCTTGCCAAGAAGGGGCATTTCCACGCTGGTTCCTTGGGAGAGAACTCACTCCCAGCCTTGTCCTAGCTGTTCCTGCTCCCTGCCTCCTTCCCTACTCTTCCCAGGCCCATCTGGGCCCTTGGCCAGGAGCCTGGCTCCTCCAAGGGCAGGGTCCAAGCCCCATCCTCTCAGGCCTGGTGGGGCTCCACTCAAGGACAGCCGGGACATCAGGGAGCCCTGCTCCAGCCTAGCGGGGCGAGGTGGGGGTTCTGGAGGACAGCCAAGGTGCGGGGGCAGCCTGGGGCTCGCCTGCCTTTCATACCCTTTTATGGGCCGGGCTCCTCTGGGTTGCCTTTGTCTCTTCCTTTCAGCCTCCTGTGCTAGCCCCTCCTTCCTTTGGGCTTTGTGGGGTGAAAGAAAAGCCTTGGGGGAAGGGGGGAGAGTGCTGGCGGGAAACAAGGGCCTGGAGCCCTTTGCTGGCCCCACCCAGAGACTCTCTGCTGGGGCGCAGCCAGGCAGGGCTTTGAGGAGGCTGAGCCAACTCCTGGGGTTCCCACCCTTCCTTTCGGGGTCCCAAACAGAAAGAAAGACTCCTTTGCTGGGCCTGTGACACCAGACCCTCAGCCCGGGCAGCGATCCCAGCCCAATTGTCCCAGCTGGTTCCAACTGACCGGGTGTTGCCCAGCCCCTGCTCCCATCAAATGCTGCCCTTCTGGCCCCCACCTCCCACCCGTCGCGGGCACTCCCAGTGGGTGGTCTTGCCCCAGGGCTTCCTCCTGTAGTTCTGCCTGGTTCTTGGTGCTGCAGCTCTAATTCCTCTGAGTGCATGGAGTGGGGGTGGCCTCTGGCCAGGAAAAGGGGTGATGTTTGGCCAAGCTGGCACGCAGGGCATGGGCGGGGGGTGGTGGTGTGAAAGCCCAGAGGCCAGGCATTTTATGGGATGAAGGGGTGAAGAGGCAGAGCTGGGTCTGGGGCCAGCTGAGCACTTGCCACCCCAGCCAGGGCCCGGGGACCTGTGTGCTGTGGGGCCTGGCCTGGGGGACCCCTCTCCTTTATCCCCAAGACCAGGCCTCCTGCTCCCTCCGTGGGAGGCTTCTGGCCCCACCCCCAGGCACGGAGGCAACAGCGATGGCCCTGGCCCTGAGGCCCTCCTGCACCTCCGCCGGCGCCCTCACCTGTCGCCTTGGGCCTGGGCCCCTGGGACGCGCGTCCGGCGTCCTGCTGGGGGGCTGAGACCTGGGCGCCCAGACCTCCGGGGCAGGCCCGGCCCGGGTCGCACTGCGGGCCGCTGGCCCTTCCTC